TTCTACAATCTACTTAAATATCTTCACTCCACAGGATGCTTGGAGGACAACACTTCTTCTAAGAGTGAAGGAAACATTGAAGGCTAAGGAGCTCGAGGAAGATGATCTTACTTAATTTGTTCCCCTTTGACCTATTGTAAACTACTAGTACATCCTTAATGTGATTTTATTTGTACTGCTTTCAAATATGATACTTTAGTTCTTTGTATTAACAAGATATCAAGTATTTAGTTTATTTTCTAATGTTGTTGAGCGTGTATGAAAGCATATAAATAATTATTACTATTCACGTAGTTTAAATTTTCATTATATTTATTATATTTTCATATTAGCGAAGAAAAATATGGTCATTAAAACTCTTTGACGACAGGTTTCTCAAATAGATAAATGACTATTAACGAAGAGAATTTTGGTTGTTAAAAGTAGTTATACAATTAATGAAGGGAATATTGGTCGCTAAAAGCACTTGAATTGACTTAATACATTGTTGTCGTTAAAGACTTTTAACGACCGGATAACAAATTAGCGAGGGAAAAATCTTGTCGCTAAAAAGCATGTTTAACGACCGAAAATTATGCCGTCGCCAAAGATACTTTAACGACCGGATTGTAAACCGGTCGTTAACTTTTAACGTCGAGACTTTTAACGACCGGTGACGATCGGATTTTTTCCGGTCGTTAATAACTTATAACGACCGGAATTGGACTTTTAATGACCAGACTTTCCCTAGCTAAAGCCCCATTTTCTTGTAGTGGAGATCCTATTTCTCCTTTCCTATTTGCAATAGTGATGGAGTACCTGAGCAGATCCCTATATGAGCTTAAGAAGGAACCTACATTCCAGTATCACCCTAGGTGTAGGAAACTGGACATAACTCATATGAGTTTTGCTGATGATCTCTTGTTATTTGCTAAAGGTAATCTATCCTCAGTGGTCACATTATATAAATACTTCTCTCGGTTCTCTGAAGCATCAGGTTTGCAGGCTAATTTGGGTAAAAGTTTAGTGTATTTTGGTGGGGTGAAACAAGATGTGAAGGAGCAAATATTGGCTCATCTGGGGTTTGAAAAAGGATCCTTACCCCTCAAATACCTAGGCATTTCTTTATCTACAAAGAAAATAGCTCTCATACAATGGCAACCTTTGATTGAAAAGATCACGGCTAAGATCTCTTCCTGGACCGCTAAAAAGCTATCCTATGCTGTCATGTGCAGTTGGTTCAATCTGTTATTTTTGGTATTCAAGCTTATCAGGCTCAATTGTTCATCTTGCCTGCTAAGGTATTGAAAATGGTAGAGGCACTCTGTAGAAGCTACATTTGGTTTGGAACTACACAATAACCAGGAATGCATTAGTAGCATGTGAAAAGATTTGTACTCCTAATTCAGCTGGTGGACTTAATCTCATAAACCTTCCTCTATGGAACAAAGCAACAATTGCTAAAACATGCTAGGACTTAGCACACAAACAGGACAAGCTATGAATAAGGTGGATCAATGCATATTATATCAAACAACAACAGCTACAACATATGCCATTGCCACAACAAGCAAGTTGGATGGTGAGAAGAAAAATTGGATCAAGAGTAACCATGCTACAAACATAGAACTTAAATGATCACAGCAAGAGCATTATCAGACAAATATACCTACAGCTGTTAGGAGACTTACCAAGAGTTAGCTGGAAATGTCTAGTCTTTCACAACTCTGCCAGACCAAAGTCAGTCTTCACCATGTGGTTGTTGCTCTATGAAAGACTACCTACTAAATATAGGCTAGCCAACTGGGGTTTAAATGTCACCCCTCAATGTGTTATGTGCCAAGGTCGGGATGAATCAAGTTAGCACCTCTTTGTTCAATGTCCATATACTATAGAACTATGGAAGAAAGTCATGAAGTGGATTCAAAGTGTACAAATGATCACCACCTGTTGGGACCAACAACTTCAGCAGATCATCAAGCAAGGAAAAGGGAAGTCCAATAAGGCTAGTATCTTCAAAATGATATATGCTGAGACCTCATATGCAATTTGGATAGAAAGAAACACACATAAATTTGACCAAAGGTATTGAGGCAGTGATGTTCTTGCAAGGGAAATAACATATATTTGCAATGTTGGAGTAGCTAATCGAGCTAAGAGTTATATACAATAATTTTATCTAGGAACAGAGTAGATTCATTAGTGATATATGTAAATAGGTATGCTATGTTTGCTTTTAACCTCTGAGATAGTCAGTTGAGTTAGCTTGTGGAGAAATTAGTAGCTTAATGCAATTATACCTAAGGCTATTTATGTAATACTATTCTAGAAGGTGTATAAGTGAAATTAGAGTTAGTTAGTTAGTAAGGTCGGTGGTTATATATGTATAGTGTATTTCATTTTTTAGTAAGTTGAAGAAATAAGCTTAGTTCTCTCTCTATCTTCTCTCTTTCTCTTCTACCTTCTTCTCTGAAACACGATGCTCAAGAAGAGCTCAACAATGGCTGACCTAGGGCTTACTTTAGACATGGTATCAGAGCCCGAGTCCACGCGACTCTCATAGTCGAGATCGCAGCATCTAATCATTTCTTCTAGATCTCTGTTTTCCCCAATTATTTTTGCTGCTCTTCTAAATTGTCTGCTCATTGAGAAATCTTCTTTGATTTTCTGCTAAAATAGCCATCTATTCTCCTGATGCGAGTGTTGGATCATCACATGAAAATACTCAAAAAATTGATTGCAATGATCTACTGTATGTACATCCTTCGGACACACCAGGTATCTCACTTGTGCCTGAATTACTAATTGGAACAGAAAACTATACGGAATGGAGATATCTATGACAATGTCGTTATTGGTAAAGAATAAACTAGGTTTTATAGATGGAACCTGTACTAGAGCTCAATATGAGAAAGATAACTTTAGGCTAAGACGATGGCAACGGTGCAATGCAATAGTCCATTCATGAATCAGAAATTCAGTAGCACTAGAACATAGAAGAAGAATTGTGTACTCTTCAGATGCACAAAAGGTATGGAAATCTATAAAGGATAGGTTTGATGAAGTGAATGCCACAAAAATTTATCACATGAACAAGGAAATAAGTTTCTTGACACAAGGAATCTCTAGTGTGTCACTGTACTTTTCTAGGCTGAATGATCTATGGGATGAATTTGAATCAATTATCCCATTCCCTGGTTGTGATTGTGAGAAGTCCAGACAATTTGTTGTGTTTTTACACCAGTGAAAATTTATGAAGTTCTTAATGGGATTGAACGAGAATTATGCACAACAAAGAAGTCAGATACTGATGATGCATCCTACACCAACACTTGACCAAGCATACTCCATGATTGTTCAAGAGGAATGTCAGAGGATGAGTGTCGGTTCTGCTACACAGAGTGGGATTTTAGGAGGTGTACCTGTAGGCATGGAGAGCAGTGCACTGGTGATTGCAAATGCTTCCAACATGAGGCCTAGGAGAAACAATGTATTGTTATGTGATTATTGCAAGATGAAAGGACATACAAGGGATACTTGCTATAAACTCAATGGATACCCACCAGGTTTTAAGTTCAATAAAAATAAGAAGAGAGGAACACATGACAACAGTGGACCTATGGCTCATAATGTGAATTCAGGTGATGAGATTTAAAATGCAGAAAATGCATATGCTATCAGAATGTTCCAACTGTGCAGGGGTTTACTCCAGAACAATATCAGCAAATTCTCAAACTCTTGAGTAAAGAACCTGAGCCAACAGAAGTCGCCAACATGGCAGGTAAATCACTAACTGAACATAGCTGTTGGATTACTGATTCTGGTGCTTCAAATCATATGGTATCATCCTATAATCTCTTGTCCAGTATCACCCAAATACCTGAACCTAAAGCATCTTCAGTCCATCTTCCAAATGGTAATAGCACCAAAATTAATCATATTGGTTCCTGCAACCTATTTAACTCAGAAACCATTCATAATGTTCACTATGTACCTGAATTCAAATATAATTTGTTGTCTATATCCAAATACACTAAAGAGTTAAATAGTGATGTCCACTTTTTGCATCTTTCAGGACCTCTCCAGTGGCATGGTGAAGGGGATTGGTAGACTCAAAGGAGGTCTCTACATCTTCAATCCTTCAGCACCTGCTACTGCCTCTTCTTCCTCCAATTGTATGACAGTCAACCAAGTTCAAGCTTTTTGTGGCATCAAAGACTAGGCCATGCCCCTATGACAGTCTTACAAACTATACCTGAGATAAATAAATACCTGTCTAAGTCATCTGCTTGTAATTTTCCTGTTTGTCCTCTTGCTAGACAAGTTAGATTGTCATTTCCTATTAGCACTTCTAAGTCTATTTCTTTTTTTGAACTAGTTCATATGGATGTTTGGGGACCCTATAGAGTATGTACTTACAATTGCTTCAAATACTTTCTGACTCTTGTTGATGACTATACTAGAATGACATAGACTTTTCTCTTGAGACTCAGGAGTGATGGTATGTTGTTTTAAAAGACTTCCTTCAACTTGTAGAAAATCAATTTGGCACTAATGTCAAATGTGTCAAGTCAGACAATGGACATGAATTTTTTAACGCTCTTTGCTTCAATCTTTTCAAGTCCAAAGGAATAATTCATCAAAGCAGTTGTGTGCACACTCCACAACAAAATGGAGTTATGGAGAGAAAGCACAAACACCTTCTTGAAATAGGAAGAACATTAAGATTTCAATCCAACATACCCTTAAAATTCTGGGGTGATTGCATTTTAACAGCAACATACATCATAAATAGGCTTCCTAGTTCTGTTCTACAAGGAAAATCTCCTTATAAGATGTTCCATGGAAAACCTCCTTTTTTTGATCATATGAGAACACTGGGATGTCTTTGTTATGCCACAAAGACTGATTTCCATGATAAATTCAATCCTAAGTCTACACCTGGAGTCTTCATGGGATATGCACCAACACAAAAGGGATAAAAAGTGTATGATATTGCTGCTAACAAATTTATGGTTAGCATGGATGTTGTCTTCAAGGAAGGGATATTTCCCTTCAAATATCCTAAACACAGGTTCCTAGTGATTCCTGATCCAACTCCCAGTCACCTTGTTTCAGATATATTTCCACCTTCCAACATAACACCAGAACCTTCTGCCACTAATGAACCAGAAGTTCCTACTCTTGATCTTTCAAATGATTTAACAGATTCACCTACTCCTTCCTCTGATTCCCCTGCTAACTCTCCGGTTGTTCCAACCCAATCCTCCTCCTATATTCCCTCTTTGCCTGCAGAATCATCATCTGACATTCATGATGCATCAAATTCACACGCAAGTGCTATCCCAGTTACCTACCCCACACAAGTTAGGAAGTCAGGTAGGGTCTCTAAACCTCCTATCTGGCTGACTGACTATGTTCATCCTTCTCTACCTTCTACATCTGCTTCCACTTCATCACTCTATCCTATACATCAGTTCATTTTCTATTCTCATCTTTCACCTACTTTTCAATCCTTCCTAGCCTCTTTTTCTTCTGATATTGAACCAACATCTTTCTCACAAACTGTCAAAGATGACAAGTGGATCAAGGCTATGAAACTTGAGATTGAGTCATTAGAACAAAACAACACTTGGGAGGTAGTGACTCTGCCTCCTAGCAAAGTCCCTATAGGATGTAAATGGGTATACAAAATTAAATACAATGCTGATGGCACAGTGGAAAGGTTCAAGGCAAGACTAGTGGAAAAGGGGTATACTCAACAGGAAGGGATTGACTTTCATGATACCTTCTGTCCTGCGGCCAAGATGACTACTGTAAGAACTGTCATTGCAGTTGCTGCGCTAGACAATGGCCAATCTATCAAATGAATGTACATAATGCATTTTTGAATGGTAACTTGCATGAAGAAGTCTACATGACTATGTCTCAGGGATTTTTTAGCCAAGGGGAGCATAGGGTATGTAGACTACTCAAATCCCTCTATGGCTTGAAACAAGCCTCTAGACAATGGATTTTGAAGCTAACACAAGCTCTTCTCAAAACTAGTTTTCATCAAAGTAGACTTGATTACTCCTTATTTACTAAAACAACTAATGGAAAATTTGTTCTCATACTTGTCTATGTAGATGACTTACTTATTACAGGTAATGATCAAGAGGAGATTGATTCATCAAAAGAGTCTTTGCATCAGAACTTCAAGCTGAAAGACCTTGGAGAATTGAGATATTTTTTGGGCATTGAAATTGCTAGAACATCAGAAGGTATCTTTATGTCTCAAAGAAAATATGCTTTGGAGATGATTTCAGAAGCAGGACTCTCAGGGTCAAAGCCCAAGAAGATCCCAATGGAAAAAAATTTGAAACTTACAAGCATAGAATTTGATGAGATTGTGAAAGAGAACACTGATGACAGCATCCTGGAATACAGAAGTCTTTTTCAAAGATTAGTTGGAAAGCTTTTGTATTTGACAATCACAAGACCTGACATTGCATATGTTATGCAAAGTCTAAGCCAATTTATGCATGCTCCAAAGAAGTCTCAATATGAGGCTGATGTTACGCCCCACAATATTATGTCGATATTACGTCCCGCAACATTATATTACGATGATGTTACGCTTCGTAATATTAAATTACGATGATGTTGCACCCTGTAGTATTGTACGTTGAATTTGTCGTAAGGTAATTGACATCAGTCCAAGGAAAAGATTATTTGGAAATTATAAGGATTATGCTATTTCACAAGTGATGAGTAAATTCGTGAAGGTGAAAGGGAAAGCAATCAAAGAAAATAAACTTTTGTCCAAGTTTGGCATGTGGGGATAAAATACGAGCCGAGCGTTGATACCCGATATTTATGGACTAGTACCATACAAGGTACCATATGACCATGATAGTGAGATATATAAAGCGTATTAAAAATAAGTAGAATTTTAAGTAGTTGAAACTATTTTTAATTATGCGGGTAATTGGTTAATTATTGGATAACGGGACATTGCCTAGTTAATTAATAAATTATGAGATAAGAATAAACCCCCCTCCCGCCTCCCCCCAACAAAAAAAATAACGTGGCAGCACCACCAAACAAGCAAAATGACTAAGAGTCAAATTGGCTTAGGTGGCGACATGCCATAATACATTCTCGACACCCCACCTTTTTTACACTTTGTATACAATCAAAATATTAGCATATTAACATAAAAGAAACGTTAGCATTTTCAAGCTTTCAGCAAAGCTTCATTCTTTTTGTCTTGAAAACAAAGACACCAACGTTAGAAACGTTACAATTCAAGCTCCTACAAGACATTAGCAACAAGACTTCTTGCAATCAAATTCTCCTACAAGAATATTATACGGATTTTTCTCTACTCCAGGTATATTAAAGCTATTTTTTCTTTCTTTTGGCATGATCCATATGATACAAACGAAACGAGTAAATACGCAACTTTCATAAATGACTCTATTCATAAAGATATTAGGGGTGTCTATATTCTTGATTCCCCATGTGAATTATTATTATATCTTCTGTTCATGGGTCTCAGAAAAATACGTAGTTGATAAAGTTTATCCGAAAGGTATATTGATTTTTATGGCATTCCGAGAAGATCTTATTAACATATATTCTTATGCATTTTATGCATTTATACATGTACATTGACCCATGACCAGATGGCATTATATACGCGTATATATGTATATTATATGTATATGGGATATGGGAAAAGGTTATGGCATTATATACGCACCACCACCTGATCAGCTGGTATACGTTGATGATTTGCCCACGGTTGCCGAGATGATATGATGGGATGCCCTCGGAGGCTTGATGATGTTATGAACGCATATACCCATGCAAGGTATGATATTTATACGCATATGCACGACATTATAATATTAAATGATTCATAAAGTTATTCAGATATACATGTTGAGTCTTTTACTCCATGTTTCTCTCATGTCTACTAGTTACTGATTTTCATTCCTTACATACTCGGTATATTATTTGTACTGACGTCCCTTTTGCCCGGGGACGCTGCATTTCTTGCCCGCAGGTCCTGATAGACAGGTCGAGAGTCCTCCAAGTAGGCTATCAGCTCAGCGAAAGGTGTTGGTGCGCTCTATTTGCTTTGGGGTTGCTTCATTGGTCAGTATGATTAGTACATGTATTGATTGGTATGGCGGGACCCTGTCCTGACCTTTATGATATTATATATTCTTAGAGGCTTGTAGACAGATGTCATGTATATGGATACTTGTATGGTCTTGTCGGCCTATGTTTCGAGTATATATAGAATCATGCCGGCCTTATAGGCCCGTACTTCATATGTATAAGTTTGTATTCCCTCATGCTTTACTCCGGTTCTTTCACCTATGATAGAATGATATGAAAGATACATTATGTTGGTCATCGGTTGAGTAAGGTACCGGGTGCCCGTCGCGGCCCATCGATTTGGGTCGTGACAGCTGCATTACATGTTGTGAGATATATCAAAGATCAACCTGGACTTGGACTTCTCATATCCAGCAATAGTGCAGAAATAATTCAGGGCTTCTGTGATTCAGATTGGGGATCATGTCCCATGTCCAGGTAGTCAATCACAGGATTCTGTATCAAACTGGGGAGCTCTCTCATTTCATGGAAAGCAAAGAAGCAGACCACCATCTCGAGGAGCTCAACTGAAGCGGAGTATAAGAGTATGGCACATACAGTGGCAGAGTTGACATGGTTAAGTGGCATATTCAAGGAACTAACATTAGACATTAAAGAGCCTATGGAGTTGTTTTGCGGCAACAAAGTTGCCTTACAGATTGCTGCGAATCCCATCTACCACGTAAGAACTAAACACATAGAAATTGGTAGTCATTTCATAAAGAAGAAGATTCAAGAATGATTGATCAAGACTGGGCACACAGGAAGTAATGAGCAACCAGCTGACGTCTTGACAAAGGCCTTGGGACACCAACAACATACAGTTCTGGTATCCAAGTTGAGAATGAAAAATATTTTCCATTATCAACTTGAGGTGGAGTGTAGAAATTAGTAGCTTAATGCAATTGTTCCTAAGGCTATTTATGTAATATTGTTCTAGAAGGTGTATTAGTGAAATTAGAGTTAGTTAGTTAGTAAGGTCAGTGGTTATATATGTACAGTGTATTTCATTTTTTAGTTAGTTGAAGAAATGAGCTTAGTTCTCTCTCTATCTTCTCTCTTTCTCTTCTTCCTTCTTCTCTGAAACACGATGCTCATGAAGAGCTCAACAATGTCTGACCTAGGGCTTACTTTTGACAGCTTGACTATGGGTTTGTACAGTTCTTCTTTGGTGATTAATACAAAAGAAAGTTAACTACCAGAAAAATAAAGAAGTATAATTGAATGATTTGTATAGTAAGGAGGTAATTTGGGCATTTTCTTCCAAAGATACGTCAAAAAATTTGACTCGCTACTTTAAATATTGAACTATCTTTAAGAAGTATTTTTTTCACTAACGTATAATTTCATTTAAGAAAATGAGAAAATAACGTATATTTCATCATTTAAAGAAACAGAAGAAGAATAGCTTGATGGGGGAAGACAATTTTTTGGTATTGAGCATTAATAAGAAGCAATACAACTGGAAAAGAGCTAGCGAACAGGTGGAGATTTGGGGCTTGAAATTTTCAAGAGTCACACAACAAATTAAATATCTATGCCCTTTCACTTCACTATTCATATTAATAATTAATGTCTCAAATGCACAATGAATAAATATTAGTACACGAAATAAAGAGGTTTTACAGCAAAGATTGCTTTAATTTGTTTAACAAGGGTTTTTTCTGGAGGATTAAAGAAGTCAGGCTCAAGCTTTGTACTACATATTAAGAGTATCAGCTGTATTTATATGTATAGCCATATTCATAGTTAGTTGGTTGAGTTCATAGTTAGCTAATTGAGTAAACTAGTAAGGGTATTTTCGTAATTAGCTCATGGTAGTTGTTATTACATTTTTCTTACACATGTATATACAGGACATAAAATAAAGAATGAAATTAGATTTCCTTTCCCAAAAAATATCATTCTTCTAGAAGTCCTCTTTCTCTCTCGTTTGAGCTCAACCGCCATAACAATGGCAGCTTGAGATTACATTTGATCTCTCAATCTCAACATGGTATCAGAGCTAAGGCTCACGTATAACTCAATTCTCATTCAGGCTTATCATTTTTCGTCATCAATTTCTGCTCGATTAACAATCACAAGTCGAGAATCGTGAGACCCTAATTTTCACCCACAATTTACAGATTTGTGAATTATTTCATCCTATATCATGGCAGTAGATGGTGATACTTTCAATTCAACTGATTCACCTAACGTAAACAATGATACATTAGATTCAACCAATCTTCTGTACATGCATCCTTTAGAAAATGCCGGATCGACACTGGTGCCGGTAGTATTTGACGGAACTGGCTATAGATCTTGGAGAAGAGGTGTCCTCAGAGCTCTCTCAGTGAACAATAAGGTTGGCTTCATCAATAGAAAGTGTAAGAAGCTAGATTTCGGACATCCGATGTTTGAACAGTGGGAGAGATGCAACGATATGGTAACATCGTGGATTCTCAACTCACTTTCAAAGGATTTAGCAAATAGCTTACAATGTGTAGTCGATGCAAAGGAATTATGGCAGGAACTGGAGGATAGGTACGATCAGACGAGTGGAGCAAAATTATACCAGCTTGAAAGGAAAATTAATGACCTAAGTCAGGGAACCCTAGACATTACAGGATTATACAAAAATGAAAAAACTTTGGGAAGAATTAAACACTTTAAATGCACATGCTCAATGTAAATGCCAATGTTGGTGCCAAGGCAAGTATGCAGAAGGCGGAACAGG